TCCTATGAGAATGTGCATTAACAACTACGCAAGTGATTCATATTGTCCAAACTAATATACATAAATATCTTTGCTGTTTAAATAAAACAGAATTATGCCGCAATTGACAAATGCTTGACTGCGTGACATTTCCACTTTTAAAATGTAACACTATTTCTCAGTTGAATAAAAAAATACTTTACACATTTGAATAACCAATGCTTTTACTTAGCTTATATTCTAGTATTTTGAGAATAATAAATACTTTGTATAGATTATGTGTGAAGATGATAAGATGTTTTTTACTTAAAAAAGTCAAAAGGAGAACAGCCCATAAAAAATCTCATTTCCTCTAATCACTATTTTCCTTTTCAAGTAGATATAATAAGAATGAAGTACTTTTTATTCACATGATGTGAATTCAAATATTGAACTTTGAATATCTACATTCGTTGATTGGAATTCAGATATATATTGCATATGAATGCTGAGAATTAGTCACTAGAACTCTGAGCTCATAATTAGTCTGCTTTATAACCTCGATTTGTGTTAAGTTTGATTAAAATGCTGTAAGTGGGTTAGACATTAACACCGTTAGATGCCCGCTCAGTGGTCTATCGGTTAAGTGCTCGCGCGCGAGACTGATAGGTTCTGGGTTCGAATCTCGCGAGGCGGAGTCGTTGATGCGCACTGCGACTGAGGAGTCCCACAGTAGGACGAAAAGGTCGTCAAGCAGTGCTTCCAGGTTTTTCATGGTAGTCAAGCTTCAATTGACTCAGGTTTTAAACTATATCTAAATGCTGTTACATTATAGAGAATGTTATTGTAAGTGCTGTTGTAAAAAGGATTAGTTCATTTCGCACTTTGTCAATGATAGTTATTGCTGAGGTTGATACTATTTTCAGTATCTAATGAAATGAAAATGTATTAGTTAATTGTATCAAGCAGTTATTTTATATTGAAATGGTTTATGAATACAACAATTAAAAAAAACTAGTCAACTCTTGAATATGCTATAAATTTTTGTATTGAATGTATCAAAGAAAACATTATGAATGCACCTATTACACATCTGTTTGATTTATAATTAGGATGTTTCAGTATTGTTCTATATAGGAAAAGTATACGTTGTTAACTGAATACAAGGAATATATTGTAACAACTCATTTGTGTCATCTATTGACAAAACGTATCTTCTTGAAATGGATTCTTCGCATCATTGCAAATCGAAGTAGCGTGAATCTTTTCAAAGCGTATTTATTTGAGACTTACACAAAATATAATTCTACTTCAACATTGTCTCTATTAAATGTAGATATCCTAATTTGTTTCATATAAAAATCATTTGTGGGAGATATCGTATGCATGTAACCAACTATTAAATAACTGAAAATAGTTGTCAGAATATGTTTATTCTAGGATTTATGTTAATTGACAATGTTTACCAAGGTGCAATGGCAATCTTATAAGTTGTTTAGTGGATCTCATTGACGATTTCTTCAGCGAATGAAGAAAAAGTATCTTAGCTTGGTAAATATATCTAAAATGTCTTTTTAACTATGAAACGTAATGAAAAATGATCAATGGATAGATGTGACTATTTGTTATTGACCTTCTTACCCTCAAAAATTATTAGGTCAAGAAGCAATTAATTTTACCTTGACCCTATAAACTTTATGTATGACATCATAATGTTTGTATTATTGATTTTTTTTACTGAATTTTCGTTTGGCCAAGGAGCGCTGGTTCTTTTTTCCGAATATTATCAATTTTGTCCGGTGAAATGGAAACAGGGATGAAGCTCTAAACTTCAAATATTGTTTCAGTACACAAAAACACTATTTTCTTTTTAGAGTGGAGATCTCCTGAGGATCATCACTAGAGTTTTAGTTGAAGGATTGTAAGGACTGAGCTGTCGGCTGTTGTGGGTGATCAGTGATTTGTAGGTGTGATATATTTTTTCTTAAGCTATAAATAGGCTTTATATAGAAATAGAATTGGCACAAAGTATTTGATTTTTTTTCTTACAAAGAATGACCTTCTGTTGGGCCCTTTTGTACTGTTTTAAATCAGCTAATTGTATTGCAAATAAACTTAATGTTTTCACAATGAGAAATTATATTAGGATGGGATCACAACCAAGTTAATTATTGACTTCTTTCTTCCTAATAATTATTGATAATTAATTAATTTTTCTAAAAGAGATATTACGGTGTAAGCATAATCGTCTTACTTCCATTTACACTTTAATAGTTGTTTCCTTTGTTTTTCTTATAATGCTATATTTAGAATATATTGATTACATAATGTACTTTCTATTGAGTACATTTTGTTTTAGTTAAATTGTAAGTGCATTTCTTTGGAAAAACTTGATTTTTTTCTTAATTGAGTACACCTCCGTATATCGTACATATCTAACAAAAACGTTTAGACAGATTTGGTATCATATATACAGCATACACAAGAATACACACACATCAATGGATCGTGTGATATAGTTAGATAATCTTAAACTATTAATTCATAATATAAAAATAGTTTTATAATACGTACTCAGAAAGGATTCAGATGTTTATGTTCAGTGTGAATAGTTCCTTCTTAGATGTCTAATCTTTATTTAAATGTTTTCATGGCAATTGCTTTGTAATAGCGTAATCAATTCGACATTATTCGTTTAATGATTATCTTTTTAAAAAAAACTTTAAGAAGTCAACATTATATCCACTGTCAAGCAAATAATGGGTAGTAGCACGGTTGAGAACAATCTGTTCTTTTAGTCTACGCTTTTGTAGAATGTACTCAGTGATGTGGATACTAACCAACCTTTCTGTTCTAATGTATGTTTTTTGTCACGTACATGTAAAATGTTAAAGGAAAACATATGACAGGAGTCTTATACACACTTAATTGTTTTAATGAGCAATTCATTAAGCACAGAGAGATCAACCTAGACACTGGATACGTCCATTTTAATTAATGATTTCAATTATTTTGTTTACAGTATACATGTATGTGCAAGCCATTAGCCTATTAGTCAGCAAGATTATTATTTTCATGATATGTAGCAAGAAATAACACTAATTCACAAAATTCGTGTAACTAACAAGTGCTATATCGTAAGATCTTATGCTTAAATAAAATTGTAAGGACGTTCACGATAACACACAATAGTATATTTTAAATTGAAAGTCTTTCACATAGTTCATTAAATTGATATGATCGTAAGATATGTTATCGGAGTGAAGCTTTACTATTCACATGATCTTATCTACTAAATTCGATGGATTCACGATCATAGTCAGTATATCTTTGAAAGTGAACTTTGAAGTTGGATCCAGTATTGCCAATTTTCCTAATTCTTATCATCTATTTTCTTCTGTCTTCTTTCCAAGTGTTCATAATATTATTGATTGACATTCGGTATATTAGAGAATTACATTATTGTGGCGTATTTATGTAAGATTACAGTAGTATTAAACTGAATAAGTGGTGGATATTATCTGTAAATTACAGTATATGATAATCTTTAGATACCCTTATTGATGACATAATCAAATATAGTTACAGTCTTAAAAGGCATTTGGTTTTAACTTTTTTGAAATATTTTTTTAAGTGTTACTGAAATATATTTACACACATAAATGAAAAACTACACTTTATTGGATAAATTCTAACAATCCATGTGTCGACTATTGTTTTTAATTCAGAAGATGTATTTGGAATATTAGTATGACCATTCAATCATTAAAAATCCACAATTTGTTTAGTAAAAGTTATATAATTTTTAAATATACTAATAAATAGAGGTGTTTTTGTGGAGATCTCAGTATTTTCATAATTCAAATCATGAGTCAATTGAATCTAGACAACCATGGAAAACCTGGAGCATTGGACGGCCATTTCGTCCTATTGTGGGACTCCTCACTGAAGACAATTGGTGAATGGTTGCTCAACTTCGTGAATTGGTTGAAGTTAGACATGAACACTATCGCATGCCGGCTCAGTAGTCTATCGGTTAAATGCTCTTGCGCGAGACTGATAGGTCCTGGGTTCGAATCTCGCGAGGCGGGATCATGGATGCGCACTGCTGAGGAGTCCCATAATAGGACGAAACGGCCGTCCAGTGCTTCCAGGTTTTCCATTGTGTGGTCTAGCTTCAATTGACTCATGATTTCAACTATGAAAGGACGATTATAGTTGACAAATAGTGGACTAGATTTTGAAAAGGAAATACAGAATAAGACAATGCTATGTAAATAAACTCATTTTCACTCTGAGATGTAATAAAAATCAACAAACTTGTAGTTGTGATATATCAGTGACATTGATCCTATAATTTCTGAATTCATTGTTAGTGGAGTGAAAAATCCATATTTACAGACAAGATACAAATGTTAACTACAATAAAACAGCCATAATGGTTTATATGATTAAGAAGAATTGCACATATGAAATACAAAGAAGTTTGTTTGCATTGTACACAACTAGCAAATGAAATCCTAATAGCCTGCAAAGAACATTTTCAGACAGTACTGATATACATTAACAAACTTTAGACGTGCAGATTGTGAAATTGTGAAGAAAATTTCACTCACATACATCTGAACTACTCATGATTATTTAAATTAAAAAAAAATTATTTACCGGTATAGGGTTATGGAGATTGTTGAGGAGTCTCGCACTTGGACGAAACTAACGTCCAGGGTTTCTAGGTTTCCACTGATAGTCTACTATTGATCGATCCGTGATCTTAATCAAAAAGTTTTTTTTCACTTGATGTTGTTTACAAGTATCTTCCCATTATTATTTAGGACTGGAATTGATCAGTCACTTGTTGACATGTACATCTTGTGCGAACTGCCTCAATATTGCCTTAAGTCACTAGATTTATTAGCGAAGATGATTAGTGACTAGCAGTGGAATTCAGGACTCACGTTTCGTCGTATTAGTTTTATTTATTCAAAGATTAACATTTATAACTGAACAAATTTTTTTATCTCTATTTTTCAATGCAAATCTAGGAAGAAATTCAGTGGGAAGTAGTTCATGGTTAGGTTTTTGTCAAATGGATAATCATAAATTTGATCAAAATCAATCAACTAATGAATTAATTCCAAGTAAAATAACAATAGAACATGAAAAACATGAATATGCACCAATAAGACGTAGACGTGATTATCATAGTTATGATAGTTCTACACAATGTAGAAATAAAAGACGACAAAAAATGTGGTTTCAAAAATTATGCGGTTGTGTTCAAGCATCAAGATCTCATTGAAACTTACATATTTGTTTATTCTAAAATGTGTCATTTTTTTGTTTTTTCTACAGTCATCCTTCTCTTTTTGGTTTCTCTCGCCAAAATATCAAGAAACTTATCATTTTTTTTACTTCTTATGATTTTCTTTTCTCTTTTTTTATTGATTATTGATGTAAATGTTTTTTTGTATTTTCTTTTTCCTATACTTTGTTCTGTACATAGTATTAATTTATTATTATTATGGCTGTATACTACTATTTGTATTGTATATTGCCAATGTATGTTTTGCATCAGTTTGATTAATATATATTTATTATTTCATTTGCTCATTTATATACAAAATCACTCATATGCTTACTTGATGAAGTCGTAATTCATACACGCACATACACAAACATACACAGATATACAGATAAACATTGCCATTTTTGTTTTGTTTTCATGATCTGACTTTCTTTTTTTTTATGGGATCAATTGCTTTTCGAACACTGGCTAATATTTAGTCAATGAACTCAGGTAAGTACAAAATTCTACACAAACAAAACCCATGATAAATTACAAATACACATACATGCACAACATATACAGACATTCATAAAATACACTGTTCGATTGTACTTGCCTATTTCGATATTTTCTCCCGTTTTTCTTTTTATTTCAATTTGAATGAAAGTCAGATGAATTCGAAAAAAAATTTTTGTGCAATTTTGATTTTGTTTATTACTTTTCCAGGAGAAAAACAAACATACAAACAAACAAACATGTAATTCCCAATCTTTTTTTTCTATTTCTCTTTTGATTTTGGTATTTATTAATCTAATTTTTATTTCGTTAGTTTCATTAATACTGTAAAAAAGAAAAAAGGTAAATGTGATGTAATTAATATTAAGAACAGATGAATTAAACTTCCATTTGTTCATTCATTTTTTTATGTTTTCTTTATAGTTACTAGGTGTCATTTGGGAATTAGATGTGTTGTTGTTTGAAGTGTTCAACTTGAAGGAATTAGGAGAAAAAAAGGAAATTAATAGCGAATGTTGATTGATGCAATACATTGAAGATAATAGTATTTAAAGTTATTCACTATTGTTATTATGATTGCTTGGGTTTAGACTTAATGAATCTGATTAGTTAGAATTTGGTCTGATATTAATCCATACTTCAAAAAACACTAAAAAAACCTGAGATTTATATAGAAACAACTTTGGGTTGAAAGATGGAATCATTAAGCATAAATTCACTAAAAAATATTGTTCTTTAGTATGAACCATGTTTATAGATTGAACAGTGAAGAACGGTTTAGCTTATAGAAACTTCAGTAATTGCTGGCAAGTTATTTTGTCCTAGTTTATTATTTATCAGCAATGCTCACTCACAACGTTTTGAGATCATTGAAAAAACTTTGCGATTTGTAGTGATTACATATTATTGAAATCAATGAGTTAGGATGTAAGAGATTTTAACCACTTCGTCGACCAATTAATTATAAATCTATGCTAAAATTTTGATTTTCATCTTGAACGTAATCAGTAAGCAAACCATTAATTTTTATTTACAAGCTATTGAAGAAAAATGATATTTAATGCAATTTGATGAAAAGTGACAGTGATAAACACTCTACTTAGAAACAATATGCAAGTTCTATGCATAGATTTAATTAGTTTTCTATTTTTCAATGTAACAAAGCAGTATGTTCGATAGTTATGCCGAAAAGCGATTTTGTAATTTATGAGAATGATGAATATCTTCTACCTTAAATAGTAACCCCACAAATTACAGGTACTATTCACAAAAGTTTACAAATGTATAAAAGAGTAAGGTGATAATTTTGATTTCGGCAATAAAAAGTATTTCAAATTCCTACGATCAGCCTTTCGAATATCAATTTTGAAGACCATGCTTCAGACTTCCTGTTTAGGATCTTTTTAAATTCTGTCTAATAAAACCAAATACAAAATGGGCATGATTGTAACTTTTCATCATCTGTTTTCAAAATGCACCTAGACGTAGTTGAACTACATAATTTAAGGACTGTTGCTAGAAAAGGAATCTCGCCGGTAGCCGGAATATCTCTGCTGCCAGTGAATAAAATTTCTGAATTTGTTTGCTTTGTGAGTTACATCATGAACTATCTATTATTTCCTGGTTTATAAGGGATGTGTAGCTAAATTTAGTATGTTATGTAATTTACAGTAATCTGTTTGAATCTATCTGAAATACTTATTTATTCATGCAAAATCTAAGTGGTTGTATTTTTTCGTAAAACATTGCAAGGTGAATGAAACTGAACTGTTTGAAGAATACTTGGGGATTCAAAACACATTTAAATGAACATATAGAGAGAGGTTTATTGCAGAATAATATTTTATATATCAGTCCTATTTAAGGGACTAAGTACAGTGACATATATATTACTCATCATATTTAGCTTTCCACCTATTAAAACAATGAAAAGATTGGTCAGTTTCGAACTTTTTCTAGAGTAAGAGATTTTTCATGGCAAAGTCATCATAACATTTACATCGTTAAGGTGACGGCGAATACTTGTAGCTCAGGATGAAAATGTTGGGATTACTGTGGTCGCTTAGATGGATGTATTGGTTTTGAAGCTCTCATTTCTCTTCTTAACAACATCATCAGCTGTTATTCAATTTTGGAGAGACTAATAGCTCACCTCAACCTGTAGTACGTTCTGATGATGTTGTTTAGAAAAACAATCGAAGCTTCACAACCAATAAAACTAGCTCAGTGACCACAATAACTCCAAAATGTATGTCATTTCAAGATTCGGTAATCTCTAATTGAATCATTTTAATTATCAACTGAAGTGTTTACACATATAATACAGCACGTTATTACCTTTCATTCAAATGAAATATCATATGGAATTTGAATAAAACATTTACTGTAAAGTATACAAACAAGTATAATCAACTGATTAGATACATTTAATGACAGCTCTTTGGTCACATTCTAGTTAGATATATGATTACAAATTTTAGAAGCCTAAAATTCAATAGTTTACATCATTATTACCGGAAAAACATCATTATAGCTTAAAAATTCGTTACATTATAACTAAGATAATGTATATTCTATGACTCTATTCTACTGTGGTACTGATAAAAAGTTAACCTTATCTTGGTAGTGGAGATAATTCAATCAAATAAACCGGTTACATTACATTCTCTTGTATCATTCATTCTAGTTGCGAAATTGATTTTATGTTTCCATCCGCAAAATTTACCTGCCTCAGGCGTCCCTGTTTTTTTATACCTCTGTGAAAGACGCCTTGTATATATTAGTTGATTGCATATTAACTATTTTAGTTTTTATTAACCTCAAGGGTATTATAAATATGTCTTTACGTAATAGTTCTTAGTCTAGTTTATTCTTCATTGATATCATCAATAAATCTTTTGTCCGCAACTAAACTTATGAAGGTGGTATGAAGTTTTTTGATTTCTATTATTCTTGTAATTTGAAGTGATTTGCATTTGGAAGGGGTTTTGTGGAGATTTCAGTGTTTTAGTAGTTGAAATTATGAGTCAATTGAAGCTAGACAACCATCGAAAACCTAGAAGCACTGTACGGCCGTTTCGTCATATTGTGGGACTCCTCAGCAGTGCGCATCCATGATCCTGCCTTGCGAGATTCGAACCCAGGACCTATCAGTCTCGCGCCAGAGCATTTAACCGATAGACTACTGAGCCGGCATGCGATAGTGTTCATGTCTAACTTCAACCAATCCACGAAAATGAGCAACCATTTTCCGATTGCCTTCAATGAGTTGATATCTCACAACAGACGTGGTTGAACTCCACTGGTCAATGCTTCCCACTAGAACTCAAGTAAACATCCCTTGAAGTCAGTCACTAGTGAGCATATAACTATATCAACTCGCTGAAGAAAATTGGTGAACGGTTGCTCAAACATCGTGGATTGGTTGAATTTAGACATTAACAATATCGCATACTGGCTCAGTGGTCTACCGGTTAATTGCTCTAGCGCGAGACTGGTAGGTCCTGGGTTCAAGTCTCGCGAGGCGCACTGCTGAGAAGTCCCATAATAGGACGAGACGGCCGTCAAGCAGTGCTTCCAAGTTTTCCATTGTGTGGTCTAGCTTCAATTGGCTGACGCTTTCAACTATGAAACTGTTATCTGAAAATTTCCGAATTCCTCATTAATTAATCAGAATGAATTGATTGGTTTGAAAGATTCATTAGCCAACCAGCTAGAGAATATAACTAATTACTTCATGAATGACTGGTAATTATTGACAACCTCTTAGAATTAATTTATACATATTTAGTTAAAATCTAATGTCTCGGAAAATATAGCGTAGTTAACAATTTGATTTGAAAATTATCAGTGAAGTAACTCATTCATCAATTGATTCTTTTTGAAATAGGGATTTTAGGTTACGTTTTAAATCATCCAGTGCACACACGAAGATAAACTGGTATTACCGAATGAATGCAATTACCTGGTTGATATATTTAGATAATGTCACCATACTATTGGTGACCTTCTGTTTAGAGTATAACAAGATTCTAATGAAATAAACTCCACCAAAGTCCTCGACTAATTCACAACTTTCTGACGTCCTGCTCGATTAAGCTCATTTATAAATTGACAAATATGATACTAGTTAGATTTTTAATGTATGTTATATAATAAAAAACTGCATAAACTCAATTCGGAACTAAAATTTCAGTTTTTGACGTTTACAGGAGATTAAAACCTGGGTTCTAAAGGAGTTGATCTAAAGATGTTTGGTTTGTAGAATCTACTTAACTATTGAACACAACTGAAAATCAGTTTTATTCATTTCGATAAGCATTTTACTAACCGGATGACTGATGATGAACTGCGTTTGGCAACATTATCGGTATATGTGATTCTGTAAAAGGTGAAAAGGCAAAGCAACTGAGCATCCTGACTTCTGAGAATACTCATATGTTGATTAGATAATGGAAAGAATATAAAACATAGTGTCGAGAACAGAGAATTGCCATGTGTTCGCTAATCTAAGAGACAAGATATAGAGTAAACTGTGTTTTGATGTTGAAATCGTTCAGCAGAAAGTCATAGATCTATATTTCATGCTAATTAATGTTCTTGGTAAGATACTAATCTACATCATGTTGTATCACAAACAGATATGGCATTACAGGTTTCAATTTCTCTAAATTTCAAATGAGTCATTGTTAACAAGTACTGTCTAACACAAAACTTAGATCTAGGCTGGTGTATCAACTTCCTACAATTACCTAAAATGTAAGCTACTGAATATATATATATATATATGGCCCCATTCTACGTTATAAACAAAATAGTCAGTAGATAAGTAATTGAGAATTCCCCAGGGGATCAAAGAACAAGTCATATTTTCGTTAATGTAATTCGAAAGAATTACAATTTCATTTAAATATTACACTTATTTTACAATGAATGTATTATAATTTAAACGTTACTAGGAATAAATTATAGTCATTGAATACATTATATTGATTCTGATAATGCTTACATAACTCTTTGATTAGTTCTAGGTAACTCTATTGAATAACGTAACATTGGAAAAGAAATGGGATCTGAAATCAACATTAAGACAAAAACAATGATAAGATAGGAGGATAACATTAAGATTGGGATCAGGAAAATAATTGGAAGAATTCAGAGAAAAGGATTAGGTTTTTATATTTTCTTGAGTCTATTGATAAGTACAAAATTGAACGAACTTCTTTTGGATAAATAATTCATAGTGGAAAAATTGGATTGCTATGACATCCAGAGCTTGATTCATTTTCAGTTTCGAAGGTATTTTATAAGTAATGCAAATGCTAAATTTTAAAACATGAATGTTTAAAGGCAATAAAATGGTTTGGAGTGAAGCTTTACATTTTTTTTATTTTCTGTTCAA